TTCCTGGGATTCCTCTGGGGCCACTGGTGCTCTTGGCAATGAGAGAAGATGCTGAGGCTGGTGCTTTTCCTGCACCAAGCAGGCTTCCTCTTATTTTTGTTTAAGTACAAGGAACTTTAAAAAGAAACAAAGATCAGGTGCAGCAGGTGGCCTGGGGAATGTCAAAGGACGGGTATGTGGATACGCTGGTTCCTGGGGGTGGTACATCCCCTACAGCCTGCACTCTGATTCAGGAGTGAACCTGGTTAAGGAACTCAACCCCCAGGCCTCTGCACATGTCCATTCAGCCTGTCTGAGGAAAGGCTCCAGGGCAGGAAGCTCAAGAGAGCCTGAAGCACAAGGAATTAAGAGCCTTTGCTATCCTGGACATTCAGTGTCCTGGGTGCCTTTGGCTCTTGTTGAGCCCAAAGTACGTCATGCTGTACTGTGTCTGGCTCCAAATAAATGCAGATGCTTTCCACCAAGTCACCTAGGGAATTCAGAGCTCTGGAGACATGGATGGATCAGTCTTAAAGCATCCCCAGTCCAAGAAAGATCAGCAGCTGAAATCACCACATGGGGACCTTTCATTCCATGGGCCTCTTTGGTCATTCAGAGGCATGGGTCTTACAAACAAAACTACAGACACACATATTTGCTTTGATTCAGTTAAGCAGCCAGGGACCAGGTTGCCATTTCCTTCCTCTAAAGTCAAAACCAGCTGACCCCACCCTGAGACTGCCCTACAGTCTCTTGAGCTCAGGCATCCAGAATTATTCTTGGTCATGGGTTCAGTGAAGGCCAGCTCCCTCTGTGCCTTCAAGAATCCCCAAGATTTGCCTGGCTCTCAGATCTTTCTCAACATTCTTCCCAGGAAACTCCCTCAACTGCTACAACATCCAGCTCTGAGTGGCCTGGACCAGAGTTTCTGTGGCCTACCAGAAAGGTCCTTACAAAGCTCCCTTTGAGATATTCCAGCCAGCCAGCTTCCATTTTGGGTCACTATTTACTGTCAGCTGGCAGTGTCCTTGCTTGCACATTCAGCTGAATACCCCAGGAGACAGCACTAATTGAACAGGTCCCAGGACAAGGGCAACCACATATCCTCACTCTTAATTAGCTTCTCTTCCCCTGAAATGCCTTCCATTTTGGGATTTGCTGTGCCTCTTAGGCTTGGACTGGTCCAAGGAGAGATGCAGATTTTCAGGCTCAACAAAACAAAACCTACATTGGCATCAAGCTGGATTTGGCCACGAAGGCCCCAACGTAACATCTTAACTCTTGAGCCTCCCTCATCATCAACTGCATTGGAATTAATACCAGAGGGCTGGTAGGAGAATCTGTAAGGGGAAGTAGGAATAACCCTGAGGGACAGGAGGAAGAGCTGCAGCCAAGGCAATGGTCAGATAGAAGAAATCTGAGTCCAGGGCAGAAATGTAATTTGAGAAAGCATATCAGACTTGACTCTCCCTAGTTCTCGTGGAGGGAGGCGCATTCAGATTTGCATGATTTCTGTTACTGTCACCTTATAACAAGAGTAGTATTAGCATTCATAACTCTGATGTTCTAGTCTGGTCTACCTTGAAGGGCAGACAGAATCTGGGGGTTGAAATACAATGCATGACATCCTGAGTGCACAGCATACTTCTGCAAAAGTTCTCCGTATGTTGGGGTACATGCATGCACGTAACATTTGTGCACTCCCCTGAGCAAAGGCATTTTGTAATGCAAGACTGACATTTCCATCAGAGCTGCTTTGAAGCTTATTCTAGTGAAACATTCCATGCGCATGGAAATCGGGGAGGGGGAGCAGGGAATGGAACTGCTTTCTGACTTACATCTGAAGACTGTATGGCACCCCAGCAATCTCAAAACGCTCAATTTCAAAATCCACTCCAATGGTTGCCTTGTAATCCCGGTCAAAAACATCTTTACAAAACCTGCAATTGAAAAATGGTTAGAAAAAAACAGCATATTATTTCAGATCTCGAAAGAATGAGAGAAGGAAGTAAAAGTAGTTCTTTCTAAAGGCTGCCATTGCTCCTTTATGTGCATATCTGGGAGTAAGCCCCACTCAGCACATGGGCCAGCTTGTCAGCATGGGAAGAATACAAAACAGCGGAGAAAGGAACCGTTTTAACCATTCCATGCATCTGATGAAGGAAACTGCAGCTCACGAAGCCTTCTGCCTTTTGCTGAAATTTGGTAGTCAGAAAAGGTGCTCCCATATTCCTTCTGAAATTTAAGTGATGTGTACTTCAGAAGAGCCCCAAGAAAAGCACATTTGTTATTTCTATGATGCCCACAGCAACTAATGCTTTCCATGCTTTGGGTGAATGTCATAACTTCCTTCCTAAGTTTTTTTATTAGAAGTTGGGTAAATTACTGATTCTCTTTTATAACCCACACCTGCCATTAGACTTCATTTGAGAGAAGAAGTCCAGTTTTCGAGCTCTGTGTGCATTGATAGCCTTCCTGGAGGGGGAGGGGGAGGGGGAGGAAATCCTTCTCCTCTGCACCCGCCCCATGGAACTGCCCTGATGCCCAGCGGTTCCACCACATGGCAGGGGTCCACGCATTTAGAAAGGCCCTGAAGCAGCCTATATAGTATTCAAGGATCCCTTCGGGAAATGACAACAGTGAATTTATAGTAACCTAACCACTGGGGAAAAAACCTGTCAGCTGTTGTTAATTGCTGCTGGAAAACTGAACAGTTTTGACAAGGAAGTGTTACTCACAATACCTGTTGATAAGGCTTGTTTTTCCAACACAGAGGTCTCCCACCACAACCACTTTGGAGATTTTCAGGCTGAAACACACATTTTCACATTGGACATGTTGACATTAGCAGTTGTGTTAGGAGAAAGCAGACTGTCTCGTGGAGCGAGGGAACTTCCCAGGAGAGGTGTGCAAAATCTGGGGCTCTACGTGGCTTGCTCCAACTTGGCACTGGCCCTGTTCTCACCTATGGCAAGCCCACCATCCTCCTTTTGAGCTTGAAGCTGTTCAGACTCAAACTGTTTTGCACCCCTCTGCTTCCACCCCCCCCAATTCTTTTTCAGTCTGGGCATGAAGCAACCTAGGGAGAGAAAGGACCTTCTTCTTGGTCTGCAGCAGCCCGAAAAGGGAGCACAGTGAAGGCAACATCAGGACATCAAGATGAACCCATAACGGCTGTGCTTCAAAAAACAAATAGATCTGCAAGTATTTGGATCTCCCTCCAGCAAACCAGAGTATGTCTTTACATATTAATTAGATTTCTATCCTGCATTCCCTCCCTAGTGCCCTCTCCTCCTACTTTTCCCCCGCACAACCAACCTGCGAGGAAGGCTGAGCTGAGAAAGAGGGACAGGGCAGGGGCTCCCATGGCTAAGGGAGGGCTTGACCCAGGGTGTCCATGCTCCTAGCCCAACATTTTAATCAGTATATCGCTGTGGCTCTCTAGGTTTGAGATACAGCGACTAGAACATATTCCACAGGGGGAGACCATTTTAACTGATTCCTAGGAGACATACAGACCAATGGTTTGACCTGGATCGAACAGAGTTATCTGCACAATCACTTTTTTTTTTTTTTACATTTCTCTTCCTTCTCCCAGGGCCAATTTCTCATCCTCCCTCACCCCCCAGCCATTACAATTTTGGGGCACTCTGGCATGGAGCACCAGAGCAACATGGAGGTGCCATGCTCGCTGGGCTGAATCCAGCCTTGAAAATACCCCAGCCAGAGGATTCTTCCAGACCCTGTCATGATTAAGCATGGTTTGTGGAACAAGCCCCCCCGCCAGCCCTGGTTCACATGTCACACCAAGAGCTCTTCTGCACACAGCCTCAAGCTGCTAAAGGTGGCTGGAATTAAGATGGCTTAAAAAAAACTGCCACAAGATTTCAGCCCAGCTTTGGCCACAATGCTGGACCCATGTTTTGCCCCAACTGCCTGTGACTGGAAGATTCCTCTCCACCCATGCTGGGAAGGAAAGCACCTTAGATGGGTGGCCTCTGTGGACACGTGGCTTCCGCTGGCAAATCTTTTGTGTGAGCTCCCCTCTCTTGACTCCCCATGTACTTAGAATCACAGGATTCTGGGGTTGGACAGGACCACCAGGGTCATCGAATCCACTGTTTCTTAACCTTGGCAACTTTAACCTGGGTGGACTTCAACTCCCAGAATCCCCCAGCCAGCATGTCCACCAATAGCAAAACCAAGTCCCCTTTGACCAAATTTGGGACACTGTTGCCTGTGAGGACGGAAAAAGATTTCACACCAGTGCAAGTCATAAAATGCCACTTTTGAAGTGGAGCAGGACAGCGCAACCGCTGCGCTGGACGGAGTGAGCAGAGGGTGACATTGTCTGTCCAACCCTCTCGACCCAGAGTTGGCAGGCTGTGCGGAACAGCCATGCGCCTGTGTTGGAAGCCGCCTCCCTTGAGACTCTCTGCACTCCCCGACTTTGGACATTATTTTAAAGATTAAAAAATAGGTGCTGCAAAACCCACCAGCCTCTAGCACCCTCCTCCTTTCCTGGGCCTCAAACAGAACCCCGACACCTTTGGAAACGTGCCCCCCACTCAGGAAAAGGACAGACAGTCCAAAGCATCCTACGGGGCCTCTAGAGGAGGTGGCGGGCCTCAGGAGGGCCTTCCAGCAGCCATTTCATAAGAGAGCGCACCACTATGCTGGGCCATCAGCCATGGTTTACCAACCAATATGGCTGGGTTCCCATTACATGCCAAGTGAGAGGAAAACTAATTGCGTTACAGCAGTGTTTCTCAACCTTGGCGACTTTCAGATGGATGGACCTCAACTGCCAGTATTCCCCAGCCAGTGATGCTGGCTGGGGAATTCTGGGAGTTGAAGTCCACCCATCTGAAAGTCACCAGGGTTCAGAAACCCTGCATAGGAGAATGTGTGAATTCAGCCGACTGTTTATTATCTCCCAGAACCAAGTACATCCCTTCTCCTCTCAGGAAAACAGAGCCCACGTCCCGCTCATTTCTCGGCAATGGCCACCCAACCTGGCGATTCCAGCCCCTCCACCTCAGGTCACCTTCCGTTTACACTGCAGCTGTTGGAACTGCCGCTTCCTGCCACGGAGGCCTCTGCTCCACCAAGGGTCCTGCTTCTGCACACCTGCAGTCAGAGACCCTGCAAGAGCTGCTAAGTTGGGCTGTTGATTATCGATGGATTAAACTTCTACCCACTGCATCCTGAAGGCACCATTGAGCAGCTTAGTTAAACCTCCAGGCATGATTATTACTGCACAGCCCTTTAATGACCTTTGGCGGAGCCAGGAGGGGAGTGGCACATCCATCCTTGTGCTCCTGGACCTCTCAGCAGCTTTTGATGCTGTCAACCACCGTATCCTTCTGGACCAGCTGCGGGGGTTAGGAGTGGAAGGCAGTGCTCCAGTGGGTCACCTCCTGCCTCAGCAGTTGGTCCCAATCAGTGCTGATTGGGGGGGGGGAGATTGCATCCGCAGCCCCTCACGTGTGGGGTGCCTCAGGGCTTGGTGCTCTCCCCCTCTTATTCGACAACTACATGAAACCGCTGGGTGAGGCCATATCATCCAGTATGCTGATGAACGTGCATCTCCGGCCCAAGCAGCACTGGCGAAGCTGTCAGCATATCGACCCAGTGTCTGGAAGCCGTTCGGGTCTGGATGGGGCAGAACAGACTTTGACTCAACTCTAACAAGACTGGGTGGCCGTGGCTGTTTGGACCCCCGGGTCAGGGATGTCACCATCCTTGGTCTTGGGTGGGGCTGCGCTTCCCCAGTCAAGACTGGTGCGCAACTTGGGGGTCCTTCAGGACTCGCAGCTACTGCTCAAAGAGCAGTGGGCGGCTGTGGCCAGGAGGCCTTTGCACAGGCTCATCTTGTGTGCCAGCTGCACCCTTTCCTCAATCGGGAGGCCCTTCAGACAGTCACTCATGCCCTGGTCACCTCACAATTGGATTACTGCAAAGCAATAATCTACATAGGGCTGCCCCTGAAGACCACCCAGAAGCTTCAGCTGGTTCAAAAGTGCCAGCAGTAACAGGCATCTCTTGGTGTGCCATGTGTCACCACCGCTATGCGAGCTGCTTTGGCTACCAGTTGCTTCTGAATGCAGTTCTAGGTGCTGGTCATAAAGCCCTGTGTGGCAGAGGGCCTGGATACCCGACAGACCGCTTGTCCCCAGTTGTTTCTGCCCGCCCAGTATGTTCCAGCAGAATGGGTGCACTCCAGGTCCCCTCCATTGAACGTTTTGCAGGACCCAGGAAGTGGGCATTCCCTGTTGCGGCCCCCACCCTCCGGAACAGGATCCCCCAGAGATGAGGATGGCGCCCTTTCTCCTGGGGTCCCAGAAGACCCGCCTTTGGTCCCAGGCCTTAGGCTGATGCTTGCTATTTGTTTAATGGCCCGTTTTGTTTTGTGGATTTTGTTGTTTATCAGAGCGCGTTAGTCCAGGCTGCCTGTTGATTTAATATCTTTAGCTATTTTTATATCTTCTTTAGTTTTGTGCGCTGCCCAGGATCCACGGGAGCTGGGCAGCCAATACATGTAAATAGATAGATAGATAGATAGATAGATAGATAGATAGATAGATAGATAGATAGATAGATAGATGTCCAGACCGAGACGCTTTCCTAAGGCTACTCCCGTCCTTCAAACCCAAAGCAGTTTCTATCTTGGGCTTGCAGGAATTGGAAAACAGGATGAACCTTGGTGGTTTGCTGGCCACATCTACAAAGGGAGGGGGTGTGATTGCACTAACAAGCTCTTAAGACTAAATGTATAAACAGCATGTCTATGCCTGACACCCAGAGCAGAGTGCCTCCTTGCTATTATGATGTTGCGTGCAACCCTTTTATTAGCTCACATCCCATTAAACCATGATATGGGTTGGTTTTGGCTCAGCAGGATATGCAAACACTACAAACTGTTTGGCAAGGAATGGTTTAAACCTCCTGGCACTGTGTAAGGTGTTGAACCCATCTACAGTAGTGTCCCAGGCTTACAACCAACAATATCTTGTGAGCCAAAGAGCAGAGGGGATGAAGGACACGGAGGCCGGATAAAAGGAGGAAGAATGTCCTGTTATTCCAGAAATATGAGGGGGCCAAAGGGGTGCTTCTTGTCTACTTTTTGGGTAGGGCTTTCAACCCAGAGGAGGGAAGCATGGCTGAGAAAGCAAGGCAGACGGAAGAGCCCAAGGAACAAACCAACAAATTGAACGGCCACCGGTGGAATGGAGACTCACCCAACTGTGCCAGGGTTCCTCCGCTGACAGGCAGCCCTCACCTGGGCATGGAAGTCCTCCCTGAGCTGGAGACAGGCCTCGGGGGTGTAGCACTGCAGGCAGAGGGGAGCAGCAGCACTAGAAAGTCCGGGAGGCTGGGGGGTGGGTGCCACTTCCTTCCTCAAGCCAGGCAAAGGTCCCCACCCCAAAGGCAGGAGGGGATGGACGGAAAGGCTGCTTACCTTGGGGAAGTCAGAGATCCTCCTGTCTCTGCTCACGGGCAAGAGGGGGCCCTTCATCGCCCAGTTTGCACTGCTGTGAGGCATAAAAGAAAGATGAGGGCACAGCCATTTTGTAATCCTCAACCTCACCCTGCGAGGCGGGTGGATATTAGCACCTCTGGATGCCCACGAAGCTGAGAGATGGGAACCAGGGCCCTCCAACTTGCAGTCGAGCCTCGGCCACCATCAGCCATGAGAGGCTAGCTGGAAAGAGGTGGGGTGGGCAGGGTGGCCCCCTCCTAGCCTTAGCAACACCCCCCGCCCAGTTAGATCTGTGGGCATGCCCCCGTCAGCACAAGGAGAGCTCCCCCAGCATCACATCCAGGGGGGCACCCTCTCTTGGCAAGAGGCAGAAGCCCCTGAGAGGGGGGCTGCGGTCTCATGCGCTGCAGGGCCTCCTGGTTGACAAGGCTGCTTCCTAGTGCCCGAAGAGCAGGTGACCCAGCACTTCTTTGGCTCTTCATGCCCCTTCCAAGTCTAGCAATCTGGCCTAAAAGCTATTGCCAGCAGGACCTTGCTATGCCAAGAGGCCCAGGATTTTCCCTTTGCCAGGAGCCTTCTGGCCAATTGCGCTATCTTCAGCCAAGGCTAAAGCAGATGTGGGCTCGTGCATGGCACGCCATTTAGGTGAGCATGAAGGCTCTCCTCCACCACAGAAGGGCCCGGGGAACAGCCGGACAACTGTCTTTGTGCCAGGCCAGGCTCTGGACCCTGGAGAGGGAGTGCCGGGGGGTGCAGAAGCTGCTTCCCCAAAGCAGCAGGAAGGCAGGTGCCATTCTTGTGGTGCTCTTCCCGGATCCAAGGAAGGGGCAGGGGCAGGGGAGAGCCATTTCCAGGCCTGCTGCTACTTTAAGCCTCGAAGGCACCTCCCTCCCCTGCGGGGCAGCGCCGTGCCCCCTCCCCGAGCTGGCAGCGGCAGACAGGCCAGGCCTCCGAGCAGCTCTCCCCGCCCGTCCGCCCTCCCCTGCCGGC